TAAGCTAAACTCAGCTAATTAACAAATTATGAGCTAGACGTCAGAATTGATCAGATGAATATAACTACTTGGGACTTTTCTTTTTCTTTTTTTACTCTTGAGCAGGGTTTCAAATCTAAAGACAGACGTTTCGTTATAACAATAATCAACACGCCGAGAACTGTTCACCTAATAATTTAAGTGCAACAAAACTTACGTTGTGTGTATAGTGAAGAGCTTCAAATTGTTAATTAGCTGAGTTTAGCTTAGAGTTCTCTCACCTCCACATTTGTTAATTAGCTGAGTTTAGCTTAGAGTTCTCTCACCTCCAAATTTGTTAATTAGATGAGTTTAGCTTAGAGTTCTCTCACCTCCACATTTGTTAATTAGCTGAGTTTAGCTTAGAGTTTTCTCACCTCCACATTTGTTAATTAGCTTAGTTTAGCTTAGAGTTTTCTCACCTCCACAATCCATCCTTTAGAACTGTGTCTACAGAAAACATGATGGTTGTCAAAGGTATGTACGTATAGCTCTGATCTGTGACTGCTAATTTATTCTAACATTACCTAAACGACGTGTTTTCATCATTTCATCATCACGTTATCTTTTGAATGGGCAATTGATTTTCGTTAAAATAACACTAAAACTCCATAGGTAGGGAGAGTTATCACATCGATATAGATCTCCTTCGAAAACAATTTTATCTCAAGACCATGTATTGATCAGTTCATAACATGAAAAAAAAACACACCTTCCAATTAGAATAAACACGAGAATCCCCCCCCCCAAAATACAACTTTTATATAGGCTATTATATTAAATCTCATTATTTTTAAAGGTCTATTTGAAATATATATTTACACAAATGGAATGAGATTGTATTTTTTTATAGCAAAACAACATCTTATCATCGTTTTTATCCCAATGTCTTCGGTGTGAAGTGTCTGCTGATGTATACATACCTTTGACAACCATCATGTTTTCTGTTGACACCGTTCTAAAGGATGGAGCATCAGCAGAC